TTTAGGGCTTGAAATACATCACTCCAAGCTCTTCTTGGCTTGAGGGTTTGCATTGAGAAGTCTGCTGTAATTCTGATGGGCTTTCCTTTGTATGTGATTTGTTTCTTTTCTCTCACTGCTTGTAGAATTTTGTTCTTCTCTTAGGTTTCTGGAATCCTAACTATTATATGCCTATGTGTAGATTTTTTTTGATCAAGGCTAGTTGGAGTCCTGTACGCCTCACTTATCTGTATGTGAAGTTCTTTTCCCCTGCTTGGGAAGTTTTATATCATCACTTCTGTGAACAGTTTTTTTATGTCACCTGCACTCTCTCCTGTTTCTTCATTGACTCCAGCAGTCTTATGTTATTCTTCTTTGCATCGTCTAGCAGCTGCTGGATTGCTTTCCCATGGTCCCTTACAATATTGAAGCAATTTTTCTTTTCCTGGTCACTAATTGCAATCTTATCTTGTATATCTGAAATTCTGTCTTCACAAATTGCAATCTTATCTTGTATATCTGAAATTCTGTCTTCACATTGGTTCATTCTGCTGCGTAGACTTTCAATAGAGTTTTTAATCTCCTGGAAATCTGTTTGCATGTGTTTTATGGATTCCATTTGTTTCCTATGTTGGGATTCCATCATGTTCCTCAACTCCTCTATTTTTTTTTTATCTGTGTCCTCTCTAGATTTATTAAATCATGTCTCGCACTATGGGCACAATCTTTGCTGTTATCTGAATATTATTTCTGATTTCATTTTTTCCAGATCCTCTTTTGTTGCCAGTTCAGGGAGTCCATGTGGTTGAGTATCAGGTTGTTCCTTCTCGTTTCCCTTTGGGGTTGCTGTAGGTGACCTGGAAGTCTGTTTTTGAGGCTTGTTTTTGTGTCTTCTCATTTCCACAGGGTGGGGGTGTGCTGCTGGTGCCTGCGTGGCTCACCTCCTCTGCCCTAGGAGTGGTGGAATGGCAGCCGAGGAGCCTCCTCCTGGGTGCTGGGATTGGCTCACCTCCTCTGCCCTAGGCGTGGTGGAATGGCAGCAGGGGAGCCTCCTCCTGGGTGCTGGGATTG